TCCATGCTTGCTTATTTTAATAAATGTAATTCAGCTGCAAACTCTTACCTGTTTCTAACTATCCTCCCTAATCTAAATATTCCTGGAGTAGAGATTATTTTGGGAGGTAGAATAAACTGCACACAAATCTTATGTAAACTCAGAATTATGTTGTTTTTTAAAAAAATAAGTGTTATCCAAACAATGTAAACTATAATAAAATTAGAAGTATAAAATATAATAATTAGGGTAAATTTTACATGAGGCATAAAATGTAACTCTGGTCTTGATAGTCTCCTGCTTAAAAATTTTCCATGGCAATGAAATTCATATCTTTTAACTTCACTTTCAAAGTTGTTATCTAGCTTCAGTAGACTAATTCCTGCTTCATCTTTTATCAATCTCCCTCCCCCCCCCACACACACCAACCCACACCCCGCTGTATTTTATCCTTGAGGTACTTTCTGAAAGTCCCCAGATGGTATATTCTCTCCCTCTTGTTCTCATTTTGTATTCTGCCCCTCAACACACACACACACACACACACACACACACACACACACACACACACACTCACACACACACACACACACACACACACACACTTCTGCTACCACTCACTACTTTGCCAAATTCATTCTCATCCTTCAGGCCTGAATTTAAATGTCACTTCTTCAGAGCCCTTCTTGAGACCCACTAGTCTCAATTCTGACCCTCTCCCACCATTCTCTCAGCATCCTCCTCCAGAACTCGTGTGTCAGTTGTGTAATCATACATTTATCTGTGTCATTATTTGGCTAGTATCCATCTTCACCACTAGACTGTAGGCTTCAGGAAGGGAGGCAGCATATCTTGTGTTTGCTCACCTTCGGTAAACCAGTACTTAGCACAATACCTGGCACACAGTAGGACTTCAATCAATATTTCTTGAATGAACAAATGAAGAAGACCCTGGAAATATACCAAGAACAATGCTGAGTGTGATCCAAACCAGTTGCTATTTCCATACCTGGTGTGTCCCACCTGGAGTGAGCTAAGATCCTGAGAGGGCCCATGTGACTCAGGAGCTGCAGTCTCCATATTAGTACCTGGTGTGAGCCCGTCTCCTGGCCCTTCACCCGGGCTCCTGTTTCCAGTCCCACACAACTTGTCACAAGGACCCTAGAATGGCACCCTCCCATCTCCATCCCACAGAAGCTGTGCCAGGCCCCTTCTCTACGGCTGGACCCCACCACTCTTATCTCTCTGGAAACAGCATTTAACCAAAAACTGAAAGGGAGGAAGCGTTAAAATAAAACCAAAAAAACAATCCTAGCAACCACAAGAAGACGTTTCCAAGACATTTTTATCTTCATGTCTTGGACTAAAATCGGGAGACACTATTTTTGACACTTCTGTTTTGTTTCACAGTGATATACAAAGATGCTTCACATTTCTGCGCACTACCCTCTCCCATTCGGCTATGACAACTTGCTTTGATAATCAACAGTTTTTGTGTGATGATGTGTATCCTGACAAATCTTACGCCTTAACAAAAACCTCCTTACAAATTGTTTACTGTGTCAAATAGCTTGTTATATTTGACAGTAGCTTTTCCTTTAGGATTTTAGAATCCAATAAGATCCCTTAGTAAAATTCTGCTGCCTGGAGTTTCCCAGAGTTTGAATTAGCATTCCCGGGGTACAACACACTTAAAACTGTTAATACTAGATTGAGCTATGGTTCAGGGCTGTCTCTTTAAAAAAATATGGTTACTTACAGAAATACCCTGTAGAATTGAAAGTAATGTTAAATATAAGATACTTGAACAAGTATAATTAAGTAATTTTTATCATGTTTTGACATGAAACTTTATAAAAGAACAAAAAGCCAATCAAAATACAACTAAATCTGTTTATCTTGCACTTACTGTAAACAAAATGTCATATACAAATATTTTTATTTCTTTGGAAATATTAACCACACTTACTTTGTGTCTACTATGTGCCAAGTATTTTTCTAGACCTTGTGCATATATTAATTGATGCAGTCCCACAATAGACCTTAAAGGGGAACACAGTAATTATTTTCATTGTTCAGATGAAAAGCAAATGGATGCACAAGAAATTCAAAGTAACCCAACTAGAAAAGACAGAGCCAAAGTTATGTGTCCAGGCATCTGCCTCCGGAGCTGTGAGTTTAACCACTCCTCCATCCTCTTATCAATGCATGGACCCAGGCAAACGATCCTTTTCCATTCCCAAATCCTCATATATAATTTATTATATTTTAAATTGTTATATGCCTTCTATTATGTTATGAAGGATAATGCTAGATTTTTTATCCTCCATGGATTTTAACTATGGCTAATAAACAGCTTGGCATAATGATGTGAGTCAAGTAGAACTGGATTTAGAATCCAGCTCTACCACTTACCAATTATCTCACCTTAGGAAAGTTCCTTAATCTTTCTGAGCCCACTTGCTGTTTTGTAAAATAGGGATCATTACAGCTGTTTTCAGGAGAAAATGAGATAATCACATATAAATTGTCTGGCTCATGGGTGATCGATAATATACCTTTCCCCAAGTGTGTAAGTAAGAACACTAGGAAATTACATTAATTCTTATGAAAAAGAAGGTTCCATCAATAAATTACTAACATGATATTGTAAATTATGTTCTATTGGCTGAAAACAGTTTATTCAGTTCCTTAAGAGTCCCAGTTGTATCAAGAGACAACAGCATTTACAAGAAAACCATATTTTTTATAGCCTAATCGAAATTTTCATGCTCAGTTACAAAGCATTACAGAAGAGGAGTGATCAAATTGACAGTTATCTGAATGAGCAAAACTGAATAGCCAGACTATGGAGGTGTGGATGTCTCACAAATTGCATCCCATTCTATGGAACTCTGCTTTCCCATATCTTCCCATTAAGCGCTCCTGTACCTTTGTGTGGACCTTGTATACCTGAGCCTTTCTGGTGTCAGCTTCTTAGTGAAGTGATTGTGACTAAAGAGAGTTTGGATTGAGGTTGTCAAAGAGAAGCCTGGGGCGGTTTAGCCTTGTACAAGAAATGTCACTCTGCTTAATTCTCCTCCACCCTTGCTGATGGGCAGTAGCTATGTCTTGTGTCCCATGGCCACCTCCAATCATATGTATGTATATGAACACCTGACATAAAGGCAGCCAATCCAAAGACTGGTCACACACTTATGCTGTAGGAGCAAGCACCATCATAATACTTTCTTGCAATTTGGTTTTTGCAAACTGAGAGACGAAAGCATTATCAAGGGAGTGCAGAAAGGGAGGTAAAATAAGAGCTGTCTCAAGCAAGTTGGTAGGTCTAGGGACTCTGGGATGTCACTAAACAGTGAGAAAAGTGAAGTTAGGATAAAAATTTCTCCCAAAACTTGCAAAGTATATGGAAAAAGAGAGATTCCCAGACTTCTTTGATTTAAATTGTTTTTAAATATGGTTCCACTGTACCTGTATCTTTACAATAGACCTTCTAACTCTTGACCATGGAAAGCGGAGTGAAACATCCCAATATAAACTTGAGACTAAGGAGACACACTGACACTGCCCATTGTTATAGAATTTTATTAGCAGAAACAACCAGTTCCTTCTGATGTGCCCAGTAGCTGCCTCTGTGTCCTTCCCGTAGAGGGTGACACAATCTCCAATGCTGCTAACAGTGGGGCCTCAGGGCAAGACGGGCTGATGAGCGCAGGGAGAGAGCCTGTGCTGCCAAAAGTACAGCTGACATCAGTGGGGAGCAGAGTGAGAACTCCAGATGTTTAGAATTAGGATGACTATAAACAAATTTGTATCCCCAGATCCACCAAGCTTGCTTTTTAAAATTATTTTTGTATCTGATAAACAAACCCATATTCTCTTTTCTCGGTTGCAGATAGACTAATTCTGTAGGGAATGATAATACTCATACTGGTTAACACAGCTTGCTATTCTTTCCCCAGAAATTGCATAATTCACATCAACATGATTCTCTCAATTGGTAGTTTGGGGACTTCAATATAAACACTACCATTTTCAAAGACTCTTCAAGACTGGTTTTATGCACATGTATCACCTTATTCATTTTTTTCGCTGTGCCAACTTTCATGTCCAAATGTTACTTTAGCCATAAACATTCTTCACTATGTCATATCATGACATTAAATTTGATACAACTGTCATGGGAGTGGGGCAGGGACATGGGGTAGCATCTTTTGTTCAGCAAACTAATCAGTTGCAAGAGATTATCTGAATTTGTGCCTGGAAATTTCACCAATGCATCTGTGACTAAGAAGAGTCCACTCCCATACTACCATTGCCTCTACTTCAATAATTTGAATGAGGGGTGTCTTCAGCCAATCTGAAACACACATTTCAAGAGATTCTTATTATTATTCCCACTTTATCATCACTCCAGCATGCACAAACCGATGTCTAGCAGGTTCAAAGCCTCCTTTTGATACGTCACAATAAATAGGCCCTCCATACTGCCTAGGAGAAGCGTGTGTCTTTACTCTCAGCCAGGGGTCCTCAAACTTTTTAAACAGGGGGCCAGTTCACTGTCCCTCAGACCGTTGGAGGGCCGGACTATAGTTTAAAAAAAAAACTATGAACAAATTCCTATGCACACTGCACATATCTTATTTTGAAATAAAAAAACAAAACGGGAACAAATACAATATTTGTATTTGCATGTGGCCCGCTGGCCGTAGTTTGAGGATCCCTGCATAGTCACATTTCTTTAGAGTCTATTGTCAGAGATAGAATCCATTAAAAACAACAATTGATCTCAGGCAGCTTCTCTACTCAACAGGTTTGAGCAAGGTTGATAATCACCTAATGCCTGAATCACCCCTTATATGTTCCGACTGTGTTCTATGTTCCAACACATTCGTGCATGCACAAACACACATACACACATGGGATCCTTACCTTTGTATATACGGAGTGATTGTGAAATGGTTGACAATAGAGTTGAAAGCTACCAATAACAGTCCTAAACCAAAACGTTCATTTTACAGGGCCGTTGTTCAAGAGAGAACTGCAAGTATCTTCACCCTCCAACACATTTAAAAACTCAACTAGAAATTAATGGGAGGAACAATTTGATCCAGCAAAAAACTGCAGCAGCAATGCTTGCCCAGCAGATGCAATTTATGTTTCCAGGAACCCCACTTCATCCAGTGGTGAGTACATCGCATCTAATGAAGGGCTGGATGATTAAAGTGTTGGTGTGGGCGATGCCGCATTGACCTCGGATGGCCTCCCTCTACTTTGTCTCTGGCTACAATTAAAGCAAAAAGCTTTGATGCTAAAGGGATGCTGAAAATAGAGTTTTTAAAGTTATTTACATGGGAACATGTGTGTGGAAACAGTAGGCAAAGACAATTTCAACTCAATATCTGGATGCCACTCCAGCTCTTTCTCACCAGTAAACTCTGTGTTTGAACCATCTTAGAATGCTAATGGTTCTACATTTTCATCTGGAGTATGAATTGATGATCTCTGTGAAGAAGAGGTTTTGATGCCTAAACTTTTTTTTAGCAAGATAGTTGACAGATAATTCAGTTCAATGGCATCATTTTAAGAATGAGGAGTGAGAAACCAGAGGAGTTAAACTGACCAGTCTGCCCCGCCTGGAGCCTGACACCAGCCCAAAAGGATGCTGTCTTAGTCACCTACACCTCCTGTCTCTCCGAGGCCTGCTGGGGGCGTGGCAGCCTCGGCAAGGACCACAAGGTTAAATGTATTGTGTTGTGTAATATTTTCTCCCTGATTTCACGGCATTTCAAAGTCCTTCCTTGGCGGTCTGGAAATTGTTTTAGAAATGAGGTCCTGGAGGAAAGGAGTGCATTTGGCTTCAGCAGATTTCATTTATATTTGTGAATTATTTGTCAAAAACAAGCTAATTGTTTTTTAAAAAAACAAAGCCAGTGAAGTGAGTGAAATTTGCCTTTTTTTAAAAAAAAAACACACGTAGGTACACAAAAGACTATTGTTTAAAAATCAGCCTTTATTGTATGAAAATTCTTATTGAAAGCTGCTAAATTAAAAGGGATAGCTACCAGTGAGTTGAATTTTTGTACTGTGTGTCTGTGAGATGAGATGGGGAGGGTGGGTGTGGGGATGAGGGGAGGGAATCTGGGGGACTAATCTGCTTATCTCAAGGTCAAGAATCTGCTTATCTCAAGGTCAAGAATGATGGCACAAAGTAGCCAGGAACAAGCTCTACCCAGAGGAAAAAATACAAAAACAAGTGCCAGGCACAGGTGGCTCCAAGATAAATAGGATATAGTCTTTTGGGGATAGACAGATTCAGGGAAAGGGCAAAGTAAGATTCAGGCACAGGGAACTGTGATTGTGGATAAGGCAGGAAAGGCTGCTTGGAGGAGGTCCCAAATAAGTGCGTCCTAAAGAATGAGTAGAAGTTAGCCTTGATGTAAGGAAAACACAAGTAGCGTTCTAAATACCTTTAACACCAAAAATAGGCATTTAAGTAGACCTATTTAAAACCACACACATGTATAATTTATGGTCCTCTTTATTGATGCATGGATATAAGTTATTTTTTAAATTCTCTAAATGCTAAAATAGTTTAGTTATATGACATTAAATAATGTCTATGGGAATAAATTTAGAACAACCAAGGTCAGCATGGTAACACTGTAGTATATATCTCACTCATTTTAATCATTCGCTTCTTATTTATGTATAATTAATAAGGATTGACCCTGGTACTCAATAATGGCAATGTCAATAAGAAAACTCCATTCCTGTTGCTATTAGTTGAACTTTTTTTGAAAGTTATGTATAATCTCAAATATTAGTTAGAAGTTAATAACCATGATTATGAAAAAGGTATAGTACATTTAAATATTTTAATAGAGATTGTTAAATTACAAGAAGTATTAGAATAAAGTTTGATAAACTTACTCATCAACCCTACAAGCAAATGACTTCAGAGTCTCAGGAATTAATTGGTGACCTAGTACAATGTAGTAGGCCAAATAGTGACTCTCAAAAGTACCTGGAACCTGTAAATGTTACCTTAAATGGAAACAGGGTCTTTGCAGATGTGATTAAGCTGGGTACCTTGAGCTGAGGAAATCCTCCAGGATGAAATGCAATCACCTCTCTCTCTGTCTATGTCACCCAAAGACCTAGCTTTTTCTCTGGATAATCAGCAACCCCGGAGGCAGCAGAAGACAGTAGCCGGGATCTGACTAATGGTCACAGTGTCTGGACCCCTGGCAGGCTAAAGATAACATCTTAACCTAAGTTATATGTAAGTTCCTGAGCTCTAAGGTGGAACCACCCCCTGGCTACTTTCCCATGAAACCAGGACAAAAGATCACAAGAATAGGCCTCAGAGCTGTCCTCGAGACCTGCAGAAATGATTCATTATCCTTACTCACCTCTGACCAATCAGCTCCCAGCAAGACCCTGTACCCCTAACCTATGATGGCTTGTGATTTTGCCCTATATAATCTGTAATCTACATGCCATTGGAAAGTTCAGACTTTTGAGCATTAACTTCCCATTCTCCTGGATGGCACCATACATAATAAAGTAGCCAATATTTACCTACTAAATCAATAAATAAATGCAATTACAACTATCCTTATAAGAGAGATACAAAGGGAGAGTTGACACAGACAAAGAGGATAAAGGCAATGTACCCACAGAGGTAAAAAATGGAGCGATGTGGTCACAAACCAAGGAATGCCAGCAGCCACCAGAAGATGGAAGAGACAAGGAATCCTTAGAGACTCCAGAGTGAGTGTGGTCTTGCCAACAACTTGATTTTGACCCAGTGAAACTGATTTCATGATTCCAGGACTATGAAAGGATAAATTGTGTTGTTTTAAGCCACAAAGTTTGTGGGAATATGTTTGATCAGCCACAAGAAATATGCAGAAATTGTTTAAGATAAAATAGAGAAACAAGTACCACTCCCTTTTTAGATTTCTTTGAAGTTAAACTTCTCTATATTTTTCTACTCCCTCTAGCTCCCATCCACCCTTAAATCTTCTACCAGTGATCTTCATATTTCTAAACTGAGGGTCACTTTTGTCTTCATTATATTTGTTTGACCTCTTAGTAATATTCGGCTTGTATAATCAATCTCTTCTTTGTAGAGCACTCCTTCCTCTCTAATCACTCCTTCCTCCTCTTTCTCTATCATATTTCTCTATGTGTTGAAATTACTAATTGAGGTTCCCAGCACTGGACATCTCTCTCATCTACCCTCTCCTTCCTGGTCTCACCCATTCTTATGACTGTAAATCATCTACAGGCTAAGAACAATCCCAAATGTATGCTTTCAGTCCAAACTTGTCTGAGCCTCAGGCTCCTGTATCCAACTTCCTATTGGACTCACTTTTAAATTTCTCACAGGATCTCAACATGTTAAAGATCAAATTATTCATTCCACTACATTTCCATCTCAGTAAATGCAACCAACAGTTTCAAACCGAAACCAAGCAGACTCTCTCTTGCATACTTTTTCATGTCTATTTCATTAGTAAGTCCTAATATATCTGCCTTCAAGTCCCAGCACCCTTGTTGAGCTACCATAAACCTATTTATCAAAATACATTGTGGGCATTTCCTTTCTAATCTCTCAGTTTTCTTTATTTCAATGTATCCTGCATATAGCAACCATAGGAACTTTTTAAACATATAAATGAAATCATATCACTCCCTTGCTTAAAATATTTCAATGCTTTCCCATTTCACAGGGAGAAAGCCTAAACATATAGCCTTATCTGTGATCTGGTCCTCGCCCAGCTCACCACCTCACCCTGAATCCACTGAGACCAAACCACACCTTCAGTTCTGTGAACACATTCTGTGAACACACAAAGCTCTTGCTTGCCTCATGGTCTCTGCTCTTGCTGGAAGTATCCTATTATCCTTCACGTGTTAACTTCATCTCATTCAGAAGGACTCTAAATCTATTCCCTGCGATTTACCACCCATCTCCATCACGATCAATGAAGCCTCCTCATTTCTACTTATCCATAAACATGAACTGTAATTTTGCTTGTTCTTGCCCATTAGAGTTTAAGTTTAATAAATGTACACACAGTATTTTGGCACTGTGTCTATACCAATAAGTATTTATTAAGTGAATGAAAATACAATTCATTCCTTCCTATCATAATTCTTCTATCTCAAATTCACTATATTTAAACATTCCCTGTTCTTTTGTTCCTTCTAGCAGTCTTTCACTCCCCATTTCTGATGGAATATAAAGTAATTCTTCTTTTCATTTTCACCCCATCACACACATAATCTTCATATGTTCACTCAAGATGAAGAAGCAGGTGGGTAGCCTTTAGTAGAACAGAGATTTAAGAACCTATACAATACAGTCCTCGGGGACAAGGTCTGACAATGAGAATTCTGCCCTTCAGTGATGCTTCTGGAGTAAAGGGAGGAGGTTTAAGGGACACCATGTTTTAAGCCTTTCTGTTTAAGTGCCAAATACGTACCCTTTGAAGTCAAAGCTTTCTAAATGCATGAACTCTCACGCTCTTGTTTTAAAGTCAGTTGATGAAATTTTAGAGCCATAAATATCCCAGGCCACTCAGCTATTACTCCTCAGTACCAGCCCTTCCTTGCCACTACAAAATATCAAAGACCATGTGGATGTGTGTGTGTGTTAAATCTTTGAACCTGGAACTACTGATATAATGTACTGTGTGAAAGAAGAGTGGAGAGTTCTGGGGAGAGAAATCCGGAAATGTGGAGCGAAGTAACGAGGGAAAAAATAGCAAGACCAGCATTGCAGAAACTATTTTCTTCCAGAAGACTTTCTGTGGCTCTTGTCCTCTGACCTCTCCAGCTGCAGCTGGTGCTGAGAGATGACAAGGACCACATGGATCCCGTCTCAGACAGCCTGGCAACAGCCCTTCTGCAGAAACCATGAGCCAGTTCGCCCATACTCTCGCTGGTACGCTTCCAGGAACAGACTCATTTGGAGGTGCTGTCCTTCTCCTTTCCCAGCTGCCAGCTAAGAACTGAATTGAGACACCATGATGTGTTGTCAGCCTGGACTCTGCCTCTGGAAGTTTAATTTGAATTTGGAATCTGAGAATCCATTTCCCAAGGCAGCAGCATCCCACACAGCTGTTCAGAGCAGCCCTACATCTCTCATCTGTAGGAGGCCCTGGATGCATGTGGGCCACAGTTCCCCGCCAACACTCACTCTCTTTACGCTCCAAAAACATAAGAGCAGCTAGTGTTTTTTCTTCTTTGGTTGTAAGACATTACCAACAAAATCTAGTGAGTGCAGAAGAATGGAAATAGCCCCAGTCTTGGAGCCAAGAGTCCTGGCTATTTTGTCCTGCCTCTGCCTCGGCAGCAATGACCTTGGGTAATCCTTTAGTCTCTACACTAAATTGCTTTCACCTGTGAGACTGCAATTCGCACTACCACACTTGCTTCTCACGGATATTGACAAGATTAAAGAAGACAATGTGTGTGAGGAGGGATTAGCCAAAGAACATATACGTATAACCCATAGACACAGACAACAGTGTGCCGAAGGCCAGAGGAAAAAGGTGCTAAGGGGTGGGAGCAGGTGGGCAAAGAGGGGGGATGGGGACATATGTATTCGGGTAAGCACTAAAAATAAGTTTAAAAAAAAGAAGAAAGAAACAAGCTACCAACATAACAGCACAGTAGCCACACAGTAAAGCAAATGTATACTAAGACAAACAATCCAATTAAGAAATGGGCAGGACACCTGAATAGACATTTCTCCAAAGAGGACATACAAATGGCCAGGAGACATATGAAAAAATGCTCAAATGTTTTTACTTTTGAATAATACTTTTTATGAACTATGTTACAACTATTAGCAATAAAGAAACTAAAACATCCATTTAAGATTATGAAATTAGATGAACAAGTAACATATTTTGGAAAGCAACATTAACTAATTGCAATAGATTTATTGATATCCAAAAAGGTTTTGGGAGATGAGTTTTGAGGTTCTGATATCCTATTGACTGTCAAGGTGTGCCCTGTGTTTGTGTCACCACACTGACCCTGGCTTCACATGGAGAGAGGGTTGGGGATTTGCTTCTGTAGAAAGTCAAAAATGGAGGTGTGGGGGAGGGCTCTTTTCTCTAAATGTTTACTTTGATAAATAGTCTCTGGGTTAAATGACACATTTAGTACAAGTTTTTTTTTAATACTTATTTTCTCTCCTCATCTATGACAGTGGTCCCCAAACTGGGCCACACAACAGATCCTGTAGCAAACATTTTAAATGCAAATTTCAAGGCCCCTGCCTAGACCTGTTGAGCCAGAATTTGTGATGTCTCTGTTTATGACCACCCCGCCCCCCTCCCCCAGGTACTTCTGATATAGCTGGTTCTTTGTGTCACTGATCTGTTATGATTTATGACCTCTCAGGATCGACTTTTTAAAATCCTAACATTAGCTAGCCCTTGTACCATTTTAATCACTTGGCTTTGTCTCAATAGTACTAAATTATAAAAGTTATAGTTCCTGAAAACCACAACTTTCTATAATTATGACTCAAACGGGTTGAAAATGGAAAACATACACATATGAAATTTTGTAGAAAGTCAAGGAAGAAAAAAATCCCAACTTCCAGCTATTTCCCATGTTGAGACCTCATGTTGCAACATTCTTCCAAAGTGAATTTTATGTCTAAACCATAAAGATCTAAGAACCGCTCGTGGGAGTGCTGTAGCCCCAGCCCTCTAAGACCTTTAGAATCACCTCTTACAGCCCCAGCCACTCAGTAAAGACTTTCAGCCTCTCCAAGAACTCCCTGCACAAACTATCACTAATTTACTGTTTTCTAACATGATCATTTGTAAGAGATATTTTTCAGTTATTGCTGTCAACAAAAAATTTGTTTAATAAACATAGATTGTTATTTTCCCCATATGTTCAACAGCTCATTCAGAGCCATAAATAGACAACAAGAATGTTACCCACAATGTATAAATAGAGACGTACCATGACATGGCCAACAGCACAGTTCCGCATTAGAACACTGCATTAACATGTCACTGCAAATATCTGAAAATTGCTCCTAAAAATAAACAGATTAAAACTCATCCAATAACTAAAAAACAAACAAGCCAACAACAACCATTCAAGTCCAACTCAATGTGAAATTTAGTCTAAGAAAAATCTTTATCTAGCATCTTAAATTTTTAACATTGACTCTTTAAAAAGTGAAGTGAAGTTTCTTGTTCTCTTAAATGTATGTTATTTCCTTTCTGAAAGGCATATTTGTAGGTGGAGCTTTAAAAAATTATCATCCCATCAACCTATTTCTTCTTACCCCTGGACAAGGAGTACAGTGATAAGGAAGTTTAATAAGGTACTTTATGCCTTTATCACTGCTGCGTTGATTGTGTGACCTAGGAAACCAAACCAACTTTCAACAGTCAATTGAAAAATTGGCCACTTGAAAAGTTCAAGCTTTTCATTCACTCTTTTAAGAAAGAAAGGTTAGTTCAAGACATACTTAAGCTAGAGCAGGAAATAGCAGGTCTATATTGAAACTGCAGATGAATTTTAAAAATATTCATGCTAGTGAATATGGAAACATACTGGTAAGTATGAAAAAAATAAAATCCCAAGTAATGCCCACTTTTTGAGAATGTATAAACTTGGTCAGGCTATAATCAAGGTTTTTTTCTTTATTCCTCTCCCTTTGAGAGACATGTAGGAGGAATCAAAGACTATGAATCAGTATTCTATAGGTTTTACTAACTGTAGTGTTAGGAAATTTAATACTTCGGAATGATGAGCAATTAGAGTGAATATATTTTGTTGAGGACACTTTCATAGAAATAAAAGTTTAACCTGTAATAAAAGCAAAGGCTTAACCTGTTCCCTGTAATTAGGTTCCTATGTTGTTCTCCAATGTTTTTGTATGGTTTTGAGAAGAGAGGGTCTATATGGATCTAATTTTTATTAAGCAAAACCAAACAGGGAAGTTTAATGAACTTACATAGTTCAGAATAGATTTATGCAACTAACACAGGGTCTTGTACAAGATGAATAAATTTTGCTCAAATGACATGCTGGTGATTTTTTAAAGTTTTATTCTAAAGATATCTTTATCCTCTGTTATCTTTCTTTAACAGCCCACTTTTCCTGTAGGTCCCACAATAGGGACAAATACGGCGATTAGCTTTGCTCCTTACTTAGCACCTGTAACCCCTGGAGTTGGGTTAGTCCCAACAGAAATTCTACCCACCACACCTGTTATTGTTCCCGGAAGTCCACCTGTCACTGTCCCGGGCTCAACTACAACTCAGAAACTTCTCAGGACTGACAAACTGGAGGTACTTCCATTTTATTTGTGGTTTGAAATGCATTTGTGGTAGAAGTGTACTTCTATGTAGGTAAACGCTTGTAAGATATTGCACACATATTCATCTAAAAGCCATGCGTTCATGATTCCTTGGTTTGAATTTGAAGCCAAGTATAAAGGAAATTAGTCTGTGGGAAAAGAGTACGTTTAACACACAGAAAGTCAGCTGCAAAATATTAGCAACCAGTGGAACACTGAATCAATCACTGTGGCAGCCATAGTGATGGCTCCTGAAGGCCTCCAGCTGGGCTAGGCTTTAACCTTTGCTGGAATCTGGATTGGTTTTGAGGGGGCAAGTCAGGAGCCCAGAAGCCAGAGCAGTGGGGGACACTCAGGGACAACGGTTGGAATAAGTCGGATTATACTGTTGACCAGTTAATACGATCATATCTCACTATTTCAGGAACTAGTATGGCTGTACTACAACGTTCCCGAATATCAGCCCTTGGTGTGTTGTTGGTAAACAGGGGGAATTGCAAACTGGGCAAATTTGTTGATTGGGACCGTTTCTTCAATTTACACTTAAGTGTTCTATAAAAGCCAAGAAAACAAATACATATATTTATAAAACATAATTCTTAAGTCCTGAGTCAAGCCAACCCATCTGTACTTTACTGGGTAATATTTCTCTTTAATCAGAGTTAGAGGATTCATCCATTTATCTTAACTACTGTATCCTGTGATATTTAATAGAGCATTTTATATGGGTGTGTAAAGATTTTAATAGATTTTTCAAAGAGCTCCTTTAATTCCACTACCAATTAAAGTTGTTAGGTGATATATGTATGGTGAGGATGTACCCTGAGCTTTATGTTGGATCCTTCGAGAATGTTCTTTCAAACATACATTTGTTTAAATATCCACCCAATAAATCTTGAGGGCGGTAAAATGTTGCTGCCTAACGTCAGTTTCAATCCAGAGTATATGGATCTCCACATGAAAAGGCTGCAAACTCTAATCACTACTGTTTTGATCTAGCCTGTCTCTGTGAATGCTGAACAGACCTTTCATGGGACTAGATAAGTGTTTTGGGCTCCACCTGCTGGACCCATGAAGCTTTAGTGTTCAGTACGTGACTGTGTGGTTTTAGAAAACAGATTAGATCAGCTGAGTTGGGAACAAACTGTCGTTCCCAACAGTACTGATGGGCAAAGATATGTGAAAAAATGACTCACCATGACTTTATCAGAGCAGCTTTCAGTTCCCACTTCAAACCAGGAATGAAGTTGGCTCCACACAGAGACCCTTGGTAAATGCTTACTGGCTGGCCCATACCTCTGATGCAGGCTCAGACTGGAATCAGTCCATTTACAGAGGAAGGCTCACTCAGAATCTGTGGGAACATCTTAGTAATTCTTATTGTGCACATTTCATGAACTAAGGATGGAATGTTGGCTAATATTCAAAGTAGGAAGAAACAGTTGACAATTTTGTGACTTATTTGTTACCCAGTACGTTTGACGGTCACCAGGCTTGACCGTCATATCAGTTGACCCTTCATATAACATCACTGATGATCAGGATGTGAACGACCACTTAAATATGCCCACTTTGGGGTTGGAGCCTAAAGAAAAAAATAACTTAACATTTTACTAGTAATTCTTCCCTGCTAATGATATTTATAAATCTAAGAATTATGTATATATGTTATTTATGTTATTTCATGTTCTAATATTCAGGGCAGAATTAAGGATACTCTTTAAATTCTAAAAAACAAACAAACAAAAAACCTTTGTACAGTAAACTCTTGATTCACCAGAATTTTCAGAGCATGGAGCATTCTAGTTACTTGAGGTTTCAGGGTAACTAGGACTAAGGAATAAAAAAGAAACAACACACAACATTTCAAACTCTATTCTACTTCCCTTCATATCTTCCCCTCCCTTTACCTCTTTCCACATTTCTCTCTTTTTTGTCCTTTTAAAATATGTTTATCGTTTTTCTGTGCTGTCAAAAATAGTAATATGGTGACCTTAAATGAAAGTTTTCAGTGGCTTTGATATCATAATTCTTCAGATTTATTATCATGCTATCTTTGTAGAGCAGGGGAGACCTAGGGGGAAACTGGGGTATTCACCCCCCCCCCATTTCCCATTCTCAGAGAGGAGGAACGAGTTTGTCATTTCCCCCTACTCTTTTTGGAGTTGTACAGCTATGGCCTGGTGGCTTAAACTATGGTGAAATTATCCCTCCATGCAAAAAACCTATAGCATTCCAGAGTTGTTCAGAGTAGAAGATTTGTGTGTGTGTATATCTCCAAATTATTATATATATTTATATATCCCAGAGACAGTGGAGGCCTTATTGATTTCTCTTTGTTATTTTCCCCAAACTGCAGATTTTGACTTATTTTCTCAATATCCACTCACTCTCAACCTAGAAAAGAGGGCAAAGCAAAACTCAAAATCGTTTTTATTAGGGCTTCTGGTTACTTGTGTTCTTGATCATCAAACTTGCATTGTAAATGACACAAAAGCCACCCTTCAGAGAAACGAAAGGAATTAATTCAATTAAAACACACACACACACACACACACACACGCACGGCTGCACGTGCAGAGGCGGCGACCAGGCCCCGTGCTGCATTGTCTGCTCTCGCCCCTGTGTCCTAGGTATGCAGGGAGTTCCAGCGAGGAAACTGTGCCCGGGGCGAGACCGACTGCCGCTTCGCACACCCCGCCGACAGCACGATGATCGACACGAACGACAACACCGTAACCGTTTGTATGGATTACATAAAGGGGCGTTGCATGAGGGAGAAATGCAAATATTTTCACCCTCCTGCACACTTGCAGGCCAAAATCAAAGCCGCGCAGCACCAAGCCAACCAAGCCGCGGTGGCCGCCCAGGCAGCTGCGGCCGCGGCCACAGTCATGGTAAGTGGGTGCGCCCCCGCGCACCTTCCTCCCCCCAGGAGCCCGCGGGCTCCGGGCGCCTGGGTCCTGCCGCTCTCCACACCCGCTGGGAATAGGGAAGGCTGCTATTCCTGCTGCTCCGCTGCCTAAGTTCTGTTGTTCTCCCTCTTTGTTTTGTTTCCCCCTCCCTCCCTTCTTCAGCACAATAAGTATATCCCTCAGGGGCAGGCAACCAAGGGCAGGTGCCAGCGCCCTCCCCGGGGGCCAGTTCTGTGGTCACAGGCTGGGGTTCTTCCTGGGAGAGGGGCTCCAGGGCCTCCTGCTGAACAGGACGGTGGGCACTGGCGCTTAAGAGAGTGGGAAACTGAGCAATAGACCGCATCTTCGGAGAGCAGACCCTGGAGCAGAGAAGTAGCAACAGGTGACCAGTCAATCAATGACTGACTCTTCCCTATTTCCATTGGTTTCCTCTTTTCCTTTAGTCATCACGGGGGCCAAGGGATTTGCTGCAAACTTTCTCTCCCTAAGTGAAATTTTACACAGAACACCAAGTCATGAGAGAGATGAAAATGGAGCTGTACTGGCTGGTGCTTAAAAAATAAATGAGTAATTAAATAAAATTAAAATAAATAAATAAATAAATAAATAAATAAAGGCCTGTAACCCAGCATCCAGAACTTGAGTCACTTTCCTGTCCCTTAGAGACCAACAGGCACCTCATTATCAGCACTTGGGGGCCTGTCACAGCCCCAGACCCCTCGGCCCCACTCCAGATTTTAAAATTCAAATGTTAGGTGTTTTGTATGCACATTAACATCTGAGGAGCACCTGCCTAGAGTCCCAGTGGTCGGCTAACTCATTAGTCAACAGAGCCAAATATCAACAGGACAACGACTGAAATTTCTTTTGAGAACCAAATTTTTTAAACTTAAACTATATAGGTAGGTACATTGTTATTAACTTAATTAGGGTACTCCTAAGGCTTAGGAAGAGCCACACTCAAGGGGTCAAAGAGCCGCATGTGGCTCGCGAGCCGCAGTTTGCTGACCACGGGCTAGACCACTGATTCTCAAACTTGGTTGTATTTGAAATTACCTGAGGAGTCTTGAGAAGTTCAAATATCAGTCCCTTCCCCCAAAGTTATTTAACTGGTCTGGACGCGGCCTGGGCAGTGGCCTTGTTTAAAAACTGATTCTGATGTGCAGCAAAGTTTAAGAAATACTGGACAAAGTTGTAGAAGGTTCTAATACATCTGTGTTCATGTGAGATCTCTGGCTCCTCAGAAGTCTGCTTGAATACATGCTTCTCTTGGTATATCAGCTCCATTCTCTAAGACCAGTTTCTCTATACAATGCTGACCATGGTTTGCACACCTTCCATCTCTGAAGGAACAGTGTACCTACTATATATAAATGGTAGGTGACCTGGGTTAATGGGGATAAAAGAAGAAATGGCCACTTACACAAAAAGGTCATTCTTCAGCCTGTTATCTTTAAATCAAGACTGTATTATTGTGCCTTCCTGTGCATTCTCCTGTCATACTCATCAAGACGCATAGACGTTATTGGAGTGAATGTCAGTATGTTTAGTTACCATAGTTTCCTGGATTGTTACATTGTGCCCAAATTTGGAATTCCATCATTTCAGGGAATCTTGCAGCAGCATCAAAGACAACCCAAAGGAATGTAGTTTTAGATCAAACGCCAGCTTCTTTCTGATAATGACATGGAAATGACTGAATCTGTCATATCTTTTTAGTGACGTGAGAGACTCATTAGAAACCAGCCTAGGTGCACTTGGATAAAGTCAAAGCATTCTTACTCTAGAACTTTCAAACTGTGAAGATAAGCCAGACAGAGCTTCTCTTTGGTAACACGAAGGGTATCTGATCTTCAAGAAAGCAGTCTTGCTTTACACACAAAAAGGGGCTACGCGGGGAGATACCTGTTTTGTAAAACATGTACCGGAACTTTGAATTCCACCCTGCTTGTCCACTTCCTTTTGTTCCATGTTAAAGTGGCAGCTCTCATTATTGTTGTCAGGGTTTCCTGACTCCTCAGATCTGCTTTTGGCCTGTGATGCCTGACATGGGCCCTTAGTTCGCTTGCCTCAACCCGTAGTTGGATGGTTTCTTGATCCAGTCAAAGTAAAACCTGGCTGCATGTGCACAAGCTGGAGAAGGCCCAGAGGGGGCAGAGGATATAAATGGTAAGGACAGCAAGAATGAATGCCACGTGTCTGGCACATAGTAGGAGCTCAATTAAAGAGAACCTTTCTCTGCATAGGTGACTAAGGAAGCTCCCAAGATGTACTGGGTTTGGTGATCTCTAAAGTCTGTTCTAATACTAAAGATCTTTCAATAATAGTAAATAATATCAGTCAAATAATATCCTCTACATCAGAACATCCGTGTCCTATAATGCTGTGTTATAACATGATTATTCATCCATACAGATTTCTAAATGCAATCTACTCATGTGCCTCAAAGTGTGAGCTGTGTGCGATATTACTATGTATGCTTGATTCTCCCAGAAGACAAGCTGTTTGCATCTAGCAAAGATAACCTACAATATGGAGTGGTAGAAAAGAAGATGCTCATTATCCAGCTCAGTTTAGAGTTCTGCGTTTCTTTACGTTTCTAGATTATTAGAATTTCTATGAAAATTATGTATCAGAAAAAAAAGAAAACATGTACCTCCCCGGAGAAATATTTAATATTTCCTTTTCTACTTAGAGACTTCATTAAATGATTCTTTCTTATATCAAAATGTTGTTCATCAATATTCTTCTAGTTAACATATCTAGTTAGCATAAAGATCAACCCAACAGTGGGTGTGTTCTCTAACTCCCGAGGACTGACAAAGTGAAGGGAAGAATTGAGGTCAAAATGACCTTGAGTTTACCATCCAGTTAATGTTCTCAGTGCACTTGGGGAACAGGCTATGTAACCTTATATAATTAGCACAGACTAATTTAAGCTAAAGAAAATGCATTTTTTAGCAATATAAAACTATACAGGCATGAAAGAGTTTAAATAAAAGTGATGTCATGGAAGCTACATAATGGAGAATTTACATTTGAGGAAAGAATATTCAGTATAAAGAAGCTTTCTTATTATAGAGCTTATTGGTTTATAAAAACATTCACAATTTTACTTTTAGAACAATGATTTCATAATATTTGATGGCCTCTATTGAGACTGCCATCCAAAACATTTTCTCCATTGGCCATTCTAAAACTCTTCTAACCTATAGTCCTTTCCACTTTATTTCTAGCTCTTTCCCCACCCCATACCTCTTCTATAAAATGACTTCCTATCATTTCTATACTTTTAATCCTGAATCATCAAATGATGATAAGCAACCCTTTATTTTCCGAGGAAAATATCATTTACTGTTTCCTATTTTGAGAGTTTAGTACTATTTCAACTTATTTCAAATGTCATAGTTCGAATTCAGAACTTTAGAACATAACATTTATATTTGTTATACAAACCTTAGGGATTTACTTATTGTGCTAACCATTAAAAATGGGTACTTCATTTTTTATTTGCATTTGGAGTTATTCTTTTAAATTTGTTTATTTTCACAGAATTTCATCATCAAATTTTTAGATTTTTTACAATTACCAAGGAATAGAAAAAATTTTCATTGTGGTCTAAATCAATCAATATTTGTTGTTATTTCAACTGTTTAAATGAAACTGTCTGCCCAAAAGTATGATTATAGATACTATTTCACTTCTATTATTTCAAGCAGTACTTTGCCATTTTTAGCTGTTTGTTATTTTTAGCTATTGTATTTATTCTAGAGTTCCACATCTCATTAACTGGGTTGGTCGCTAATTGTAGTTAACTGTACAAGTAGAACTATTAAATACAAATTATTTTGATACCTGAAAACACTAAATACCTTTTTTAAAGGTATTTTATTAGTATAATCCGGTAAGTTGTTTGAGATAAATTGAATTCTAATTTCAAATATAGTGGAAAACTTAGAATGGATGATAAGTTAGTCATTAGAAACAGTACAATGGAATAAAAGAGAGAAATTTGAGAAACTTACTGTTCATATTCAAAATTTGTTAAATTTGGAACCTTATTCCAATCCATGCTAGCAGAGTGAAGAGAAGAATTGAGACAATTATCCACATGATTCAGACAAAAAATTAAGATCCAAACCCAAACAGTTTTGCCTAAATAATCTTGTGTTTGAATATTTTTTTGCCTGAATTTTTTTGTCTCAGTTTGCCACTTCATTTTGTTAGGCTAGATCTTCATTAAAAATTATTTTTATGCAATTTAAGATATTATATTTTTTTACTTGGGTCTTATATATTTCGCACATTGATTATTTCATATTTGAAAACTAACTTATCAGAAGTTCTTCAATCCTATGACCCTTAAGAGTTTTGCTTTTTTTTTTTCTGAAGCAATATAAAAAATGCTTATGGTGTGTATGCAAGCTGCTGTTTTGATTAACTTTCCTGAATTTCAAACATCTATATTTTACTCTCTTATATGCTTTTAACTAAGGTATAGTAGATGCATTTTTGCTTCAATACTAATTTAAGGTGTAATATTCATTTCTTTAGAGAACATTTTTGTTGTTGTGCATGCCTAGTGTTTTGTACGTTGTATATTGCATTCAGAATATTTTTTTCCTTCTCACCTATCCACAATGCAATGCCGTTCCCATGATGCACCTCTGCTTGCTGTTTACCTGTATGTTAATTCGCTTGAATCCCATTGGCCCACTGCCATCATGTGCTCGCTGCCTGTTATTAAAAGACTCAGTCGACTGCCAAAGCAATGAAGCGACCTCTCGAAGCATCTGTAGACCTGGTACTTTGACCTTTCACCTTTCGCTTTGCATGTAGCCTTTCAGAGAACCATCTGAGATTTGTATTACTTGTAAAATATTGGTTGCAAAAAAATCATTATTATTAATTAATGAAAAATTCAATAAGGTGTTTAGCCATCTCATTTTCATATGTAATATGTAAAATAAATTAATCCTAACAAATGTTAATACCTTTTCCAAAAGAGTAAAGCAAATTTAAATTACTTGGCTCAGAAGATGCTTATTATAATTCTTATTAACATTTAAATTCAAGAAATGATCATTTAGTTAACATAAAAAATAGAATTAATGATAACACAAATGCTTCTTTCCTTCCTTAGAATAGTTTAACTCATTTAAAAAGCTGGAGCCATTTTTTGTTGTTGTTGCTTGATAGTTTTTCTTTTCCTTAGTTGAGATGCTACTGTTTTGGATTACAGAAATCATGCTTTCGCTCTCAATAACGAATTCTCACTCATTCGACATTGCCGCTGTTTAAATTAAGGTGCATGGCACAGGCATCTCCTTAGCTGTCATTTTTTTAAAAAAATGTTGCAATTGATGATCTCTGTGGACACTGAAGTTGTATTTACTTTGAGTTATACATATCATATCCGATTCTTCACTTATAGGCCTTTCCACCTGGTGCTCTTCATCCTTTACCAAAGAGACAAGCACTTGAAAAAAGCAACGGTGCCAGCACGGTCTTTAATCCCAGCGTCTTGCACTACCAGCAGGCTCTAACCAGTGCACAGTTGCAGCAACACACGGCGTTTATTCCGACAGGTATGTGCCCTGACCGTTCCAAGTCCTGTGTCTGTGTGCCCTTCTGGTCATGTGCTTTCTTCTCATTCCTTTAAGCTGTTTGGTGGCATCTAATTTGCTTTTAAAGGTACAATAAATACAGCCTGAAACTCATCATTGTCCTAGCTATCTATATATATTTACCTTGCTTGGAATGATAGCTATGGACTGTTAGGATTCTAAAGCCAAATATTTTATACAGTCAAGTGACAGATTAAACCCGTAAGAAGCAAATAGCTAAGCCTTTTGGTTTCTTGTATTTACACATGTTGTGTAAAATTGTTTATGTAAATAAGACCTTCTATGTGTGACAATTGAAATTTGTCATTAACCCTGAATGACTTTTAAAAAAAGCAATTCCTATAAATACTAACCTTTTCTTTTCTACTCCTATTCAGAGCACTAAAAAATGAGGCTATTCAAATTAAAGCAATCCTCTACTCATATTTTTACATCCATTCTATCTCTCTCACCATTCTTCTCAACTCCCACCAAGTTTACAATATAGAGAGCCAATGCCTGATAATATTAGATACTAAGATGCATTAACTCTATCATTCCACTAAAAGATGAATCATTTTAATCATAGAATCTTGAAGTGAAAAGATTATTAGTGACCTCCTCATCCAGTTGATTGTTTTACAGATGAGAAAACTGAGGTGCCCCCTGCCCAAATGTGAAGTGACTTGCCAAGATGGCACAACTAATGAAAAAAAAAGACCTAAAACCTAGTTTTCCTATGATCAATTCAATTTACATGACAAGACATTCCCTGGGTCTCCATGTGTGGAGACCACAGAGTTCTCCTTTAAAGCTTGGTATAAACCATCAAATGTAAGTGAAGGAACAAAAGTACAATGCATGTCAACCCTCCTCCATTTCTTATCCACCTCCCCGACCACAGACTTACATACACCATACACAAACACAAGGAGCCACCATAAATTGACTGTGGTTTTGACCTTTAGTCTGTGTTAGAATCAGAAGCAGGAATAATAGTCTCATAATATTTTCTAGAGTGTCAAAAAACACAAACCAGAGAGTGACTTAGGCCTTAGTGAGAAGACTGTCCGTTGTGTTCTTAGTTTCAAAGTCAAAATTTTCATTCCATGATAGTAACTTAAAGGTAAATGTAAATGAGCAACAATTTTATCAAAAAGAGTTTGTTGATCCTAATCCATGTGGTTGGACTTTTCAGGTTTATTATCTATTCACTTAAATCTCATAGTATATCAATAGTTAACATAGGAGGGAGTTGAATAAATATTTCTATGTATTCTTTGTATAAAGTCTATACTTTGAAATGAATTACAACCTGTTATAACAATATATTTTATAGTAAAAATATAAATTACAAGCAAAATGGTTCTTAGTATTTAGTTTCCTTATTTTAGTTCTGCTCTACTCTTAAAAAATGTTCATAGACCTGTAGAGTCAGTCTCTAAGTCACTACTTATTAGGACTTCACGTTTGTTCTATTACAATCTTAATTAGTGCCACTTCAGTGCAGTTATAGCACAGCAGTATCTGTACATGCAATCCATTGGATATGACATGTTTGTAAAAGAATTACTAGAAGGTAAACTTACCTCAGGGTCCTGTGTGATTTCTACAAATGTCTTATTTTATAGACCCCATCACTAGATATTTTAGGAGAAAAAAAAATAAGGCAGAATATACTGAGGGGAAAAACATAAAAAGACAAGTCTGTTTCTGAAGACTGGATGATAATGCCACTACCATTTCCTGGGCATGTCTATATAAATCCTGGAGCTAAGCCATGCAAAAGACTGAAGCCCTCTAATTCATATTTAACACTTCAATCCAATAATGATCGATTTGCTAAAGCACTGAAAGAATGCTCATTTTAAAACAGTTCACCTGGAAACCATTTAAAGACTTCCAAAGCAAGAATGAATATCATCCCTTATGCAATGACTTGATTATTATTGATGAAATGGGTTGCATTGAGGACCAATAGGCTGAACTGGCTGCTATGGTTGTGCACTTCTGCCCTCTGCTGGATTCTTTAAGAACTGTTCAAGTGTGTCCAGCAACCCTCAATTGAGTGGACTTTTGGAAGCCAAGTTCACTTAATTCTGTGAATTATACATGTTTCCAACTATAACACCATATTAATACCATAGCGAACAAACATGTAGATATCATTTTCTGAAATGGCATTTCAACTTCTAAGAAGTTTTCACATGTTTCTCTTAAACGATGAAAGATAAAATAATTTTATCACAAAGGAATTAGCATAATCTCCCCCCCCCCACTTAAATCCATAGCATACATATCAGTGTTTACTTTGCCTCTAGTTTTTATTTTAGGCTTTCTTCCTCACAAATCACATTTTCAGCCTAATTTTTAAATGATAATGATAATTTTCATTGTTAATCATTATTGTTTGAAATCTCTGCAAATTAAGTGATGGTGTTCAAAAGTATTTTTTTGCGACTTAGTAGGTGGTGGGCCCATTATTTTTAAACTGACACATTTTGATTTTTCAATAAACACTTTAACAATTGTCATAAACATGAAACAAAAAGCATTTTATGTTCTCCAAGAGGTTGCCCTTTATTGACAGATCATTCATAAGTGAAGTTTTTGATGTGCTACTAAAATTCTCCCATTGACACAATGTGAATTTGGATTTCAGAAATTCTGCCTTCAGTCTTTGGAGATATGAACATAAAATGTTATGTAAAATATGGGATTCTTCTCCCAACCCTGCTAATATAATTATCACCCTGGTTGATGCCCTAGCACATTTTCAGTGGGTGGGAGTTTTCCTTTATTTTTTGCTTTTTTTCCCCTTTTTTTGATAGAGATTATTTTAACCTAGTAGTTATACTTTTTCTTTGCTATGTTAGGAAAGTGGCAAAAACCACACACATTTACAAAAATAGCAGCATAATAGTTCTTGGCATTTCTCTGACAGGTTTATTCTGAGTTACTGTGAGTGTTCTTATAGACATTGTCACATTATTCTTCAAGATAGTTCTGCCAGTGCCAGGCATCATTATTTGCATTTTGCAGATGGAAAAACTGAGGCTGTGTCTATGCTGCAAAGTGTGATATATAATTAGTGGAATTATCCAGATAATTCTGACTCACAGATTCTAGAGTTGAAATATTTGTGCAATGGAAGCAGAAAACATTTGAGGCTTTGTTGATGAGAATTAGTGCCTTTGCGAAATTCTTCAGCCAATGAGAACAAAGATGACCCACTGACCCCCTCCTTGACTTATTTCATTATATTGGAAATATGGAATAAGTAGGACATGGAACAGTGCTAGCACAAATGTTGCCTAGTGATCAGAAACCATTATGTTACATAAGGTTATCACATATCTTTATGAAAGATTTGTCAGTGTGTAGCGGAAACTATATCTATATAAAACCATAGCAAAATTTATATATCCTATTCAAGTTGGTAAACAGTTATTGAACACGTAATGTGCTCTGGGTTCCAGAACCAATAATGAGAACACACATGAGTTCAGAACTAGAAAAAAAAACAAATATAAGGCAAAGCATGGGCTTCATTGGGATGTGAGCAAAGCTATTTGAGAGTGAAGGAGAAAAAGGCATGTGCTGTGACTGGTTGACAAAGGATGAGGAGAAAGAAAGACTTTCCATAGCAGAACTTTGCTTAGCACTTTATAAGGAAGATTTAACTAATGAGCATCCCTGATAGGAGGGTACAGCATGGGTTGGGCAGAATGTATTGAGAAATAGCAGGTGGTCCCCTGTAGCTACAATGTAAAGTACATAAGGGACTGTGGATGGGTGGGGAGATCAGAGTGGAATGAAAAGGCAGAGATGGGGCTAGGAAGCAAGACCAGGACCAGATGTGTTTCCAATATTCATATCACTTTTAGGCCACGTGGAGACGCGGTTCATCAAATTAATGTGGCTGAGCATTCCAGCCACAGCCTGAACTGGAACCAATGTGATGTGTCCAATCCTAGCCCAGTATGGTGGCAGGAGCTGCTGCTGACGGTTTGCAAACCAATGACATTGACATGCACGACACAGGAAAGCCCTCCAAGAAAGCCCCTCCTTATTGGAATGCAGAGGCATAACATGGAATTTTTTAGGGATAACTTTGAATCCAGCCACGGTTGATTTAAAATGAAGTCATTCACAAACTGGGTACTTTAAATAAATTTTAGGGACAAATTGCTCCCATCACACTTTCAGGAATGGCTGAGAACATTCATTCAACCAATTGTCTATCTACTGTGTAGATACACCTAGACAGACATAAATAAACCCTGTTCTCCCAGAGGACAAGATGGATATTCAAGAAATACCCATAGAAATATATAATTAAAAATTGTTATGAGTACTATGAATGAAAAAGTAAAGAGTTCAGTAAGATTTAAAATAGAAAGCTGATTTAAACGGCATATGGAGGTAGGTAAAAGAACAATTGAATGATTTTCTAAAGAAGTGACATGTACCATTAAACCTGGAAGATGAAAAGAATGGGGTAAAGATTATTCTAGTCAGAAGGGACAGCTTGCGGGAATCTCAAAAGTAGGACAAAGATGTGCTGTGTTAATTCAAAGAAATGGAAGGCTGTTTCATCAATCGAAAATCTATAAACTTCAATCTGTTCCCTAAAAGAAAAAAGAAAGAAGCGAACGGCTAAACTGTCTGGGTCATGATTCTAGGGGGACTAGGGTATAGGACAAGCTGGGGAGGTAGTCAGGACAGGACCATAGGTGGCCTTTATCCTAAAAGCAATGCGAAGGCAGTGAGTCATTTCCAGCAGAGAAGTGAACTGAGCTGTATTCGGAAAGGTTCACTCTGCCAGCAGAGTGGAGAATGGACTAAGCCAAAGACAAGGAGGGAAGCAGGAAGACCAGTTAGGCTGTTATTGCATAGCTGAGCCTAGAACCAATGGTGATCAAAACTTGAGAAATGGCAGTAGAGATGGACAAACAGACAAATACAAGGCACATTTTAGAAACAAGGTAGCTTTGACTTAAAGGTGAGTTGGACCAGGAAGTTTCACAAGGGGAAGTGGCATCAGGCATAGCTTTCATTTTAAGCTAGAGTTACTACATAGATGGTGATGTCCATCTAGCATTTCCTGAGGCGGAGAAACATTCTGTGGGAAAGATCAATGTTTGGACATGAGAAATTCAAGACACTTGTCAGACATCCAAGTTGAAAGGCCTGGTGAGCAGGTAGATAAAAAGACCTGGAGCTTAAAGGAAAGAACTGGGAAGGATAGATAAATCTCGTAGCTTGAGCTCATAGATAGTATTGAATAGATCCTGGATTGAATAATATTATGAATTGAATGATTTACCAGGGAAAAGTAGAGTAGATGAAAAAGACTAGAACTTGATTATATTTATATTAT